GTACATCCACCTTAAACATACAGGGCCATAAAGTTTTATCTCTCGCACAAAGTGAGCTATCAAGTGGACCATAATGTCAAAAAGTAATGGAGGAAAGTACATTTCCAATTGGAAGAGGATCACATAACCTTCATTTTCTAATTTATCTAACTCAGCAGGATCAATTACTTTGCTACAAATAGCATTGAAAAACATACAAAGTCTTGTAATAGTGCTTCTCACATTGTTTTTCATAATGCCTCGAATAACAAGTCAAAGTAATTATCACATCAACATGTGACAATCATGAGACTTCATCCCCGTTATCTTCAAATCTTGCATCGAAACAAGTTTTCTCAAATTAGAAGAATAACCTTGTGGCACCTTAATGCTATTGATAAAACCACAGAAACTTGTTTTCTCTTCCCTTGATAATGTGTACACAGCTGGATGTAAATAAGCCCTCTTACCCTCTCTTTCTTGTAGGTAGAGGAGTTTTCTTATTCTAATTTCGACTAAGTCCCGTCTTGCATTAATTTCATTCTTAGCCTTTCTACTTATATGTAAAAATGTATCAACTAGGCTCTCATATACATTCTTCTCCATGTGCATCACATCAAGACTTTGCCAATATGGAAGATCAAAAAAGATAGATCTTTTTTTTTTCATATACTCCTCTCATGGGCAGTCTTCTTCTTCTTTTTACTGAAGACCACACTAATTCCCTTAACTTGTTGATAAACTTCTTCTCCAGTTAATGGTATTGGAGCCATTTGATATTCTTGTGAGCCGTTAAATGCCCTCTTCAACCTACGGTAAGGGTGGTGCCAACTAGAAAACCTTTTGTGACCATGTTAGATGTCTTCCTACCATGTTTAAGTTGCATGTAATGAATGCCTTCTTTGCATAACAGACATGCTTCATGACAAATTTTCATATGCTGAAAAGTCATTTATCGTGGTGAAGATCATGGCACGTAAATTGGAGATCTCTTCTTTATATGCATCAAACACATCAACACCTTCCTCCTATAATTTCTTTAGATCCTCAATCAAAGGTGCTAAATACACACCAATATCATTTTTCGGCTGTTTTGGCCCCGAGATCATCAAAGATAGCATGATATACTTTCTTTTCCTATATAACCAAGGAGGCAAGTTGTAAATTATGAGGAGCACCAGCCAAGCACTGTGTGCGCTACTAAGATTACCATATAGATTAATTCTGTCCGTACAAAGCCCTAATCGAAGGTTTCTTGGCTCACTACCGAATTGAGAAAATTTTTGATATATTGTTTTCTATTGAGGAGAATCTGCTAGGTGACGAAGCTTTCCATCACATATTTTCTTTTTTCTCATCGGGATGCCATCTCAAGTTCTTCACTTCTGTGGCATTAGCAAATAAACGCTTAAATTATGATATTATTAGAAGATACCACAGAACCTTCAAAGGAGGACCTTTGATCATCTCATTATAATCACCATTATCTTTCTTAACTTTGTATCTTAAAGTCCCACATTTAGAGCACTTATTCAACCCTTCATACTCATTTCTAAACAATATACAATCATTAGAGCACGCATGTATCTTCTCATATTCCAAACCCATTGGACACAAAATTTTCTGTCTCATACATTCGTTTTGGAAGTGAATTCCCTTTTGGAAGAATATCACTCAACAATTCAAGCAATTTTGTGAAACTAGTATCAATCCAACCATTTCTTGTCTTCAACTTCATCAATTTCAACACGGTTGTCAACCTTATGTAATCATCTTTACACTCTAGGTACAAAGACGTCTCTGCATCACTACACAAGTTTTCACATGTGGGAGAGAACTGTGTAGAGGACTCAGACCATATGTTACGAAACATATTCGAAATTCTATCACCAAAGTCTTCATTCACAATTTTCTCTTTTCTAGACATTGTAGTCTTTCTCATTTCTCCATACCATATCCAATTTGTATACCGTAAATTTATCCCATCACAAACAAGATGCTCTCTTATCTCAGGAATACTCCGTTGACTATTGTTTGAACTTTTGACACAAGAACAATAATACAATCCATCTCTTTTACTAAGGGCATTTCTCTTAGCAAACTCAAGAAACTTTTCAACACCATCCTCATATTCTTTGTTAATTCTCTTAGCTTTTATCCAACTACGATTGATTGTTCTACAGAGTCAATAAGCATAGTTGTAATTACTTTTAAAAGTTAGATTAAGTAATTTCTAAAAAAAATAGTCATACATAGTGAATGAACGAAAATGTCAATAAAAATATATAATCAGACAAACATATATAAGTTTTGTAAAATAGTTAATAATAAATTATTTTTATTATTTTAATTTAAATCAAAACTATTCTTTATAACATATTTCAACATGCATAAAGCTTTATAAAAATTTTAAATTAATTTAATATAATTTCTTTTGGAACACTTGCTTCTAATTTAATGTCATAGAACAAATAAAATTAGATTTGTATATAAAATTTAGCTTTTTGCAAAAATAAATTAAAACACATACTTAAAGAAATAAATTTTTCTAAAAATATTATTCCCTTCAGGTCGTCCATTCTAATTTTTCCCATTACAAATCCCAAATCATTTAAAAAATAGACAAATCAATCAATCAACCAAACCAACAATGTAATAAACAAAGATAGGATAAAGTTGAAGAAATATAACAAATAAAACAAAAGTAACAATTCAATGTTAAACCAATTTAATGAATAAAGATTCTTAAGATTAAAATTTCTGAATCCAAAATGGAAACATAAATGATATCTATTTATCATGAAATTTTAAACAACAATTTATCATCAATCAAAGTTCATAATGAAAAAAGAATTTCACAAAACACTAAACAAATTATTTATTAGTAAATTCTCAAATTTATTACCAAAAAATACCAAAATTTTGAAATAAATATCAAAAAATTATTTAAAAAATAAAAAACTTCAAAACTAATCAACTTTAAACATTTAAATATGTTTCTAATGCTGTATATAGGAAGGAATTGAGGTTTTCTAAGACCAAATGCCACCAATCAACATCTCAAGCACATAAAAAATGTAAAATGAACAACACAAGATATCCAAAATGTAAAACCAATCAACCCATTTGAAATACAATAGATTTTTATGGTTAAAATATCCAAAAAAACTAAGAAAAAATGAAAAGAATGAAAGAAGAGGATAGTCACTTAGTGGAGAAGATGCAAATGTGAGAATATAGGCGGTAAAGACGGCAGCAGATGGCAGCAAGCAACTACAAGTGAAATGGAGGAGTTTAAACAGCGAGAAAGGAGAGGGAATGGCCAATAATGGCAGTTTGGTGGTGGTGGAACAGAGGGGGACCACAGCGCACTCATATGAAACTGTGAAAATGTGAAAAAGACAACCCTATCGCGGTATATTTTGAAACTTTCCACAGCAATTATTTAGAAAACCGCTGTGGAAAGTGAAGGGTTGTGGCATTTATTTACAAAAATGCCACCGTTTTTTTTTACGGCGTTTTTCTTCTTAAGTTGTTGTTTTGCGTCGTTATATGTACTTTTTCTAGTAGTGCATACTTGTCTATTGGGGGCCAACAGACGAGCATGGGCCTATCATATTCATCTCATCTGGTCATTTTTAACTTATGCATATGAAATAATTTTTGACTCATTTTAACTTGATTATAGTTATTTCCACAACTTGTGCACTCCTATAGGAAAGGGAGACTTATATGGATTCATGTGTCAAGCTACTTTGCAACCTTTGAAGAACCCCGTTGATAAGCGGATGAGATACATGGATAACACAATTGGAGAAACCCAATCATCTTGCTATTTTGCCCCAATTATTGAACAATAAGTAGTTTATATCTATTTATACATATATAATTTTTCATGAATTCATTGGTTTCATTTCTTTTTAATATTTCAGCAAACATTGGTCATTGTGCGTTACTTGCCTCACAAACAATGTCATTTGCTGGTTTGATTTATTGGGTCGTCGTCCAAGTGGAAATATTAAATGTGTTTTCAATACGTAAGTTTTTATAATCTAATATATGGTTTTATTACTTCATTAAATTATTCTAATATCTGGTCATTTTTATTTGGTCATAGGTCTTTGAAAACATATTATATACGACGTGGGAAGCGCAACGGTAAAAATAGCAAGATGACCTGGCACAAATCAATAGTAAGTGTTTCAATTTAAGTTCTTCAATTTCATCAACAATTACTTCATATATACGTATATTTATCTTTGTGATTCACTTCATGGTTATCAGAATCGTGCGATTAGGGATACGAATCGCACGATTCATTACAAAATTTGCACTGGGAGATATGAATCTCCCAGTGTATCTTCAATGCATCAGTATCGCAGCCTGAATTGCGCGATTCAGGCCGGAATCTTGTGAATCGCGCGACATTGGTGGATCGTGTGATTCTAGGCAACGTCGGGTCGCGCAAATCCGACTTGAATCTATGTGCGACCCGACACAGTGAAACCCCCTATTTTCTTTTTTTTATTTTTTTGTTTTCTTTCGGTTATATATGGGAAGTAACTGCCAAACCCTATTTTTTATTCCCTTCTTGCTCTTCTTTTTACGTTTTACTCCATATCTTGTGCCCCACGCTAGTTGCTTTTTTTCTTCTCTTCTACTGGTTCCATGGGGCTGAAATTTGGAAGCTTTGAAGTTTGAATATTGAAGTCTTCTCCTTTGCTGGTTCTTTCTCTAATCTTCTACTCCTATTTGATGATTTTTTTTACTCTATTTTTTTATTGGATATTATATTGGTGGGAAAAATCAGTCAGAATCAGAATAAGAAAAAAAAGGAAGCTGACATTACATGGAAACATTGTGAAAGTGTTCCTCCCCATAGACTTATGGTTAAATGCAAATACTATTCACATCAATGTTGGGGTGGGGTAGCCAGGATGAAACATCATTTGGCTGGAACTAGAGAGAATGTGAGTACCTATACAAGTGTTCCTGATGAAGTTAAAAATTGATTTGTTAAAATGCTAGAAGATAGAGAAAAAAATAAAGATGTTGGTAGTGTTGAAATATTTGAAGAAGCAACTGCTCAAGATGCTAAGGGGAAGGAAGGGACATCAAAAACTATCAAACAGAAAACGATGAATGAGATGGTAAAAGATAGAGAGTTAGTAATTCAAGATATTTGTAAATGCATCTATAGTAATGCTTTACCATTCAACTTGGTAAGAAGTCCATTGTTTATTCAAATGTTAAAATCTGTTGGTGAATATGGTAGGGGTTTGAAACCTCCAAGTTATCATGAGGTGAGAGTTTCTCATTTGAAAAAAGCTGTTGATAAAATTCAAGAAAGTTTAGTGAAGTATAAGAGGGAATGGGAGAAATGGGGTTGTACTTTGATGTGTGATGGTTGGACTGATAGAAAAGGGAGGTCTCTTGCTAATTTTTTAGTTAATAGTCCTGGTGGGACTGTTTTCCTAAAGTCGGTGGACACAAGTAGTGTGATTAAAGATGCTAAACAAATGTTTGAATTACTAGACAATATAGTTGAAGAAATTGGGGAGGATAATGTGGTCCAAGTTGTGACAGATGGTGCCTCAAATCTCATGGCAACATGGAAAATGTTAGAAGAGAAGGGAAAAAAAATTATTTTGGTCCCCTTGTGTAGCTCACTGCCTTGATTTAGTCCTTGAAGACATTGGGCAACTTCCAGTATTTTATAATACCATCACCAATGCGAAGAAAATAACAACATTCATTTATAGGCATACATGGGTCCTTAACTTGTATAGAAAATATTCCAAAGGAAGAGAATTAGCTAGACCAGCAGTGACAAGATTTGCAACAGCTTATCTTACACTAAGTTGCATATTGCAGCAAAAGAATGCTCTTCGAACCATGTTTGCTTCAAATGATTGGGTTTCTAGTTCTTTTGCTAGTAAAAGTGACGGTAAGCAAATGGCAGACATGATTTTTGGGGATTCTAGATTTTGGAGTTCCATCAAATATTGCTTAAAGTGTGTGAGTCCACTTGTAAAAGTTTTGAGACTTGTAGATGGTGACTCTAAACCTGCTATGCCATATATTTATGAAGCAACGGATAGAGCCAAAGAAGAGATTGCTAATAATTTTGAAAAGAAAGAATCAAGGTATAAAAAGATATGGAAGATTATTGATACTCGTTGGAATTTACAACTACATAGACCCCTCCATGCGGCTGCCTACTTTCTTAATCCTAAGTAAGTTTTATACAATTTAAAGTTTAAAATTTAAATATTTATTATTTAATTGTATGTTAGAAAAAGATAACGTATTCATTATTTTTTTAGGTTCCATTATGATGAAAAATTTAATGCGGATCAAGAAGTTTATTTTGGTTTATATGAAACTATTGAGAAAATGATTTCGGATAGGAAGACAAGATTTTTAGTTGATCAACAGCTTGAGGCATTCAAGTCTGCCAAGGGACTTTTTGGAAGGAGCATGGCAATAGATACTAGAAACAAAAAACAATGGTATCGTTCTCTGGTCTATACTATTTATAAGAATTTAATTTTTAACCTTAATAATAAATCTAAATTTTGAAAAACATTCCTAATTATTTTATTTTTCTTTTAGCTCTTTGGTGGAAAAGTTATGGAGGAGAAGGCAAGGAGTTACAAAAGGTAGCTATGAGAATTTTGAGTCTCACATGTAGTGCTACTGGATGTGAAAGAAATTGGAGCACATTTGATCAAGTGCATACTAAACGAAGAAATCGCTTAGAACAACAAAGGTTAAATGCACTTGTATTTGTCAAGTACAACCTTCAACTTGAGATGAGACAAAAGATTAGAGAGGAAAAAAGAGAGACATATGATCCAATTTGTTTATCAGATATTGAATTTGATGATGAGTGGATCACTGAAAAAGAAAACCCATGTTTGCCAGTGGATGGGTCATGGATGGACATACATGAGAGTTTCACTTTTGATGAAGGAGCTCCAAGCAAGAAAAGAAAGAGAGGTATAATATTTTAAAACTAAACATAAGTTGATTTTAGTTTAAATATATAAAATCATACTTATTTAAGCTTTTTGTTTTTTCCTTAGGTCCAAGAAATTTGAATGCCAAAATCAGTAGCAAAGGGAAATCTATAGTGGAACAAGAGAATGAGAATGAAGATAATGTTGAAGATGGGGAAGAGGAAGACGATGAAGAAGCGACATTATTAATGGAGGATGATCATGAATTGAGTGACATTGATCTTGGAGATGATGAATGATGAATTGAATTTTATGTTTAGTGACTTTAGTCTTTTTAAGTTAGGAGTTTGGTTTTTGAATTGATTTTGGGGACTATTTATGTTTAAAATTTCATATGTTGGCTATCTTATTTTTTTTGGACAATGTATAGCATCTAATATTTACAAACTTCTAATATTTTTTCATATGAAAATTACTTATATATTATCCTTAATAATTGTTCATGAATCTTACGATTCACGATACCGTATGATTTAAGATTCATAAAACCGGCTTTCCGATACACGATTTGTATCTCGGTTTGATAACCCTGATTCACTTTTGATTTATAGTGTCATTTGCAACCAGGAAGTACAGAGTGCGGATACTATATTATCCGTTTCATGTATGAAATTATTGAGTCTAGATGTACTAAAGATTTTGAGATGGTAATAATTAGTTTGATTATAATTATTTGATTTTTTTTCATTTGATTTCTTGCTTTCTTTTAATTATCTTACCTTGATTAAATTGAAATTTTTTATTTACAAACTTACAAATTTTTGATGATGACAGCCCCAACACTAATGAAGACATTGATACTGTTCGAGATCGTTTGGTAGGACAATTTCTTCAAGAGTATTTCTCTCAAAATGATACATGAGGTTGAAAGGCATAGTTTAGAGACTTTAGTTTTTTTTTCCCCCCTCTTCATTGAGTTAATTAGGATGTTATTTTCATAAGTTATTATTTAGGATGTTATTAAGATACGATTTGTATGGAAACTATCCTGAATGAGGCTCTGCTGAAAACTATGGTATGTACAATTATGAATTTTATTTTATTTTTAAAAAAAATAATATACTCATCTGCTCAAGTGGGAACAGACGAGTATGAATCACCATACTGGAATAGATGAGTATGTTCCAGCATACTCATTTGTTCTATTGGGAATAGACGAGTACGATGGATTCATACTTGTTTGTTCCTAGAAGCAGACGAGTATGAGTTGATCATACTCGTCTATTTATAATAGACGAATATGTATCTCCTATCTACATCTCTTCTGTCAATGTTTCCTATGAAACAAATGAAAAAAAGCTTCCAGAACAGACGAAAATAATTGTTTTTGTGGTAGTGAAACATTTGCCACATAGAGGAAAGTAATGGTTGTCTTTCACATTTAATAATCATGGCATCTTTGCACCTTCTTGAAACATTCATTGACAATTTTACACCCAAGTGAATTTTATGACGCAAGTTGTGCATTCATGAATATATTATGGGTAGATTTGCATCTTAACGCTTTAGCTTCTAATTTCATTAGAATCGTTTAAGACTTGAATGAGGTTTCTTTAATTCGGAAAAACCTAACTGAAATTAGCTCCGTCAAATGAAATTCTGCCTTATACAAACTGCATGTGCGAATAAATTATACAGGATGCTCATAACAACCGGGTAATTTATGATTTCTCTAATGTTGTTTGTCATATATTACATGTCATTTGATATTGTTGAACCAATTTTCACCATCCGCTTAATCTAAAGAGTTCAGTTTCAATGTGAACGTTTTGGTTTGATCAGGAAAACAAGTATTAAACACAAGGCGAATAAGAGATAGACCATATTAATTATTGGACGAGATTTTACTCCGAATCATAGGCATTAAACCTATCATCAATCTGGTATCCGACACGCAATATAATTATACATAATTTATAAATAGTAAATAATTCAACTCATTTCAGACTCCGAATAAGCAAGAGTGTTTTGTTTTACTCTTGTTAGTTCAAAGGTCCCACTTTAGTCCATAACTAAAGATTTCTTTCCCGTACAATGCACGGATTAAAATATTTGATTAAATTTTAAATGATAATAAATTGTACTACCTCCGGTTCTAATTATAAGATCCAGTTGACTAACTTGAGAAAATTAAAGAAAGAAGTTAAGTTAGTTATTTGTAATAAATAAGCATTGTCTTTCCTAAAATATCCTTACTAATCAATTATATTGGTTAGGACTACAATTATTAGAGGGACTATCTTGGAAAAAAATGCATAAATATGAGAGACAAAGTGGATTGGGATCTTATAATTAGGACCAAAATAAAAGTTAAACAAGGTCTTATATTAAGGACCGGAGGTAGTATTATCTAAGGCAGCTTAAAATTATATTCCCTTTTTATAGAAGTGTAATTTTTTTTGTTCATTCAAATGAGATTGGAATTAGAGATTTAAAAATTAAGAAGACCATATAAAAATTTAAAATTATTTATTTATTTCTCTATTTAAACCCCCAATTGACGTATTATTTAATTATGATGTTTTCTATTTAATTCAATATATTCAAATCCCAATTAAGATATCATTTAAACTCAAAATTAGTTATTAATTCCTTCATTTGACTCTCAAATTGAAATCCCATTTAATAATGATACTCTTCATTTAATTCAATATACATAAATCCCAATCAAAATATTATTCAAATCTTATCAATTAAATATATTCAGATGTCTTCATGTTATACCTATTTGATTATATTTAAAATTTTAATAAATTGCATTATTTAAGATAGTTTAAAATTTACTTCTAATAGGATTTTTTTTTTATTCATTTTAATGGAATTTGAATTAGAGATACAGAATTTATGGCGAATAGATGAAAATTTAAATTTTTTTTTATTTAAGCTTTTTATTGACATGCTATTTAATTATGATACCCCTCATTTAATTTAATATATTCAAATTTCAATTAAGATATTATTCAAATTGAAAGTTAATTATTAATTTCTTCATTTGAATCTCTATTTGAAATTGCATTTATTTATAATATTTCCCATTTAACTCAATGTATTCAAATCTCAATTAAGATGTTATTTAAATCTCATTAATTAAAGATATTCGGATCCTATAATATCATATCCGACCCGTTTTTAAACGAATCAGGTATTACAAGTTTTCAAGAATATAATTGATGATTGATTGATAGAATCCTCAACCTCACAAGGTAGTGACAGTGAAGGGTAGGTAAGAGAGCCAAAATGAGAAATGAAAAGCCAAAAAAGGGTGAAGAATAGAATCACATTACGTGGTTGATGTTGCCATGTTGGGGCTAAGGGCAAGGGGATAAATGGCCTCTTTGACAAAGTACCTATTTCCTCAAGGTCCTATTTGATGTAAAGCATTGAAAATGAAGGATAAGAATTGGGATTAAAATTAAAAAAATCTATTAAAAGAGTGTTTAGCATGAGAGATTACTTGTTACGTGAGATTAGACAAACCCATATATATGGATTAGGAAATACTATAAGAAAAAGTGGTATTTTCCAACCTCACCTTCATAGATTTGTCTAATCCCACATGACAAACAATTACTCATACAAAATACTTTTTTAATGATTTTTCTTAGCTGTAATTCTAATATCTATCTCTCATCTTCAATACTTCATACTAAAGAAACCCAAAGATGTAAGGTTATAAGCGAGATCGAACTCGTAATTTTTTCACATATAAGGGAGCTTGACGCCACTAAGTTACAAGGGCATGGGCCTAAAAGGAAAACCATGATGAAGAGAAAAACACTGTTTATTGGCGGAGGCAAAATAGTGCAAGCCATCAGTCCAGCATCCAGTCCGAATGGGGATGAAAACATGTACGGATTCTCTCGTGCAGGAGAGAGAGTGATAAGACAGATGGGGTGAGACCCACCTGACAAATTTTGTTAGGCTCACTTATATGAAAAGTACCAAGTACTAGTACTTTGTGAAGGGCATTCAGGACCGAAAGGCACAGGATACTTTCGAACTCTAATGAACGCTATTATTAATTTATTAGATTCGACGATTTGATCAAATATTGAAGTTCTATTGAGCGCACAGAATAAAAACGAATAAAGAAAAATATAGAATAAATTGAACTCAATTTGTAACAGAAATTGAAAAACCAAAAAGGAAATCTTTTTAGGTCCTTTCATATATTCACAACACATTCATCATGTAGCCTAGAGTTAAATCATCGAAGGGAAAGCATTTTATGCAACTAACAGAATCTAGTACATCACACTATCACAGATCTCGAGTGAATCTCCAATGCCTTACAATCAACGCTCAGAAAGTGGGTAAGCACTATGGCCATGAGGAAGAATCCAGAGCTTTCAGTTTTGCTTTGGCTGAATCAAGTTCTTCTTCATCCCAAGAATAGTGTACGGAGAAAATATTATCAGGACTTCTTTTTGGCAACTTAAAAGCATTTTGGTTTTATTTAAGGAAAGAACAAAGTCAAATGGTAATGATTTCTTATTCTGCTCCATTGCTGTTGCTTTTTGGATGGTTATGCGGAAAAATAAGTTCCCATTTCTCTGATAGACAGCCTGCATCAAGAAAAATGAAATCCTAAAGTTCTTTATGTGTCTTCTCAAGCCTAGTCAGTTACTACGAAGGCATGTTTCCCCAGCACAAGGGACAGAAAGAACAAGAACAAGAAATAGAAGAGAAAGCAATAACTAAAAAGAAAGAGGTCGTAAAACAAAACAAAACTATTATTCATAGCAGGTAAGAAGTGACCAACAGACAAAAAGAACAAAACAAAGTGACCGGCCATCTAAATTGACAAGGTTACGAGCTATCATTTCAACCAGTTATCTATATTCTATTGCTTATAATCATCTTGTGCTGATTAAAATAGGTTATTTTTAGTAAGCAATAGGGCTTCAGTGATAGGTGCTACAAAACCCTCTTAAATACATACCCACAAGACATCCATCATTTCTCCACCATCACATGAAGAACACTCAAATTTAGGACAAAGGGGGCCCTTCAAAACTGAGACATGGCATAAAGAAAATTCGTTTTCTTTTCCCCCTAGACACGTTTTCCCCATTTCAGGGAATTTGAGGAACAGGTCACGTTCATGGATTACACTTCTTTGGTCCTCAACATAGGTCCAGTTTAACTACGGCGTACAAACAAAAACTGGTAGTAGAATGGAAGTTACATAATTAAAGATATAAAACATCTGTAAAACTTCCCAAATCTAACGTGAAGAACATATCAACTATAATTAATTAATTACTTATAATATTCAATTGTACAAAAGGGAAAATAGGAAAAAAGTATTAAATAGTCTAAATATTATCAAAGTGAATTTATATTTTGGACCAGGTAATGTAGGGAGAATAGGACATATATCGCGGACCGGAGGGTTATATGGCAACATAGGAAATTCAGGGCAATAAGAAAGTTTCATAGTTTTCACCACGCCCCTAAATATCTTCACTGGTTTAGCTACATGAAGGCATGGCAAGATCCCTTGCATCAATAACAGGGAGAGGCAAGAATATAGCGGCACTCTCAATCCACTCATAAAATCCAAAAGATATTACATTGGAAATAAATTAGATACCTCTATTTAAGGTGTTTGCAGTCATTTTCTCTAAAGTGAAAATTTCTATTTACAGGTCAGTGCTCCATGATTAAACCGTCAAAAAAATATCATACACAAATTATGTGTAACTCAAAGGAAAAACCGTAAAATCTAACATCCCATTAAATATCCATATAGGTTTACGAATTAGTTCTCCCAAACTTTAGCTAAGCCTACTGCCATTCAGCTTACAAATTGATTAAACAGCCAGTTCTTCCATTGGACTCGTAAGTATCAAAACTGTAAAAGTTAATTCTTCCAAACTTTACCGAAGCCTAACAGCCTAATGTTTGTAAATTCCGCTGGCTAAATCAACTGAGTTCCCTGCTTTGGAGCAACGATTTAGGAGACGAGCAATGGGAATTGAAAAAAGGAAAAAGCAGCACAAAAAAGGAGATACCCTAGAAGATGGAAGATGGTTGAGCTCATCTATGGCGATTTCGTGACTCTCCAGTTCCCTCGAAAGACCGACTTGAGGATCAGCAGCTGCTCTTGTCTTGTTGGTTAGGCCCAAGGATGAAAGACGCTGCGAAAGCCATTTTCACCGAGCGATGCAAGAGTATGACTACTGGCATGGAATACAAAAGGTTTGATTCAATTTATAAATTGTTTGATGATAGATGTGTCAACCGTGTTTATATTATTATTAATGTGTCAATGTATATTGTTATATGATGACGCTAAAATTATTGTATGACTATTCATTCTTCATTTTCAGATTAAGAAGCAACCTGGAAATTTCAGGAATAAATGCTTGCCTTAATTTGAAGATCTATCACATTTGGAGCAAAGACCGTGTGTCTAAAATTGAAGCTGAGATTATTTAATGCTAAGCAAGGACTTAACATAGATACAAAATTTCATTACATCTAAGCAACAACATTTGCAGCCAACTAATGACTGCTTGCTTTTGAAGGACTCGTCTTCCAGTAGCCCACTCAATATTGGAGTTTGTTGAGAATTTACATAGGGAATTTAATTATAAATGTCCTGCATAAAAGCTAACGAGAGAAAAGAATTAACGGGATAAATAAACATGATTGCAACAGTATAAAAGCAAAGCCACTGTACACATGTCATGTATATAGACACCCACATACAAGGAGCATAATCTGGTAAAGGGTGATTTTGTCTCTAGGTTTGTTGTTATCTATTCCTACGTTATTTGTAATCCAGCCAAACATTTCGATACCAAAGCATTATCTTTCCTTGATGACATAACAAATAAAAGTATGTAAACATTATTACAGTACATTCCATTCCCTATCATTACAATCCATTGAGTTTCCCATGATTAAGTGAAACAAACAGGCCAATAGTTTCAAAAGGTCATGAAAATGTACAAATTAAGCTGTTTGGAACTCTGAGAGCAACTCCAGATGCATAAAAATCTCAGAAATATAGGACAAACAATAGCATGAGCAGATTTTCGCATGTATATGTAGTACCCCAGGAGTCTTGAAATTATGGAGTTCCACTAACTTCATTAATGGGTTCCACCTCAATAGAGTAGCTCCTCCTGACCGTTGAAACCTAACTAGATAATGGATAAACGGCTAGACACTTTTTTGAACGTGTAAACGAGTATACTGCTTAATTGTTAATAAGTCTCCAGTGGGTGAATTTAGAAAATCATACATTATAATTTTTTTTTCCATTTTAAATAAATCTGCTTCAAAAGCTACTGTAAGAATCGCTGCAAAACTCAAGCACGCAGCTTTGATATGTAAAATAAAATGGAATGGAAAAGCTAAAACATAGATAAAGATATGGCTAAAACATAGATAAAGATATTTTTCATCCATTAAATTAAAAAATTAAAAAGAAAGGATGATTATGATTAAATAACAGATATGCTATATCTCATTCTTTGCATGATAGAAAGATATTCCCTTTATGTATCAAAAAAGGAAAGATATTTTCTTCCAATAGATGCAATCAAATAGGCCTAGAAGTAAGGATCTAGATACAAGAGGGTGCACAAATGAGTTTTTACAGCCCACGAAGATTTGGCTCTAGCACAGAAAGTCTAACTTGAATTTGCAGTTTAATTTATATAAAGAGCTTTTTTTTTTTATTGGTCAATAATTTACATATAATCAGTTAAGTGCAAAAACGTGGCAAGCTTCTTAAAGGAAAGAAAAGCAAGAGCTAGAAATATAAATTTACCTTCGTCTCATAAGAACCACTGAAAATAGAGTTGCAAGAGATTCTGTTGTAACCCAAATGGTTTTCTAGCATATTAGAAGAATTAACAAGGGAAAAAAAATCATCCAATAGCTTCACCAACAACCTGAAAATTATCACAAAAGGACGGAAGCAGAATCAGTTTCACTTCACAAGCAAAGATCCCCATAGTCTATTACAATTAATGTCACTAAAGAATGCATGCAAAAAGAATGGTTGATCCAAAGTTCTTCTGATCGTCATTAATAGAAAGTAACCTCTATATGAAGGCGATAACAGTAGAGCATTTCACCAGCCAATGCAAAAGAAAAGTTCATGGAGGGGAACCAAAAGCCATACTAGATTCTTCATAATAAAAATAAATCGTTCCGTACATTTCATTTTATTAGGTATTTACTTATTCGGCCATAAAAGTATGAAAACTTATTCGGCCATAAGAGCCCACCCCAGCTCATCCCTCATAAGCCCAAGGCATTTGTAAGGCCACGCACAAAAAGCCTCTTCAAAGCCATAAATGCTGACAATGTTATGACAACACAACTATAGCTGACAAATCATCACAATTGATTCAAAGCAAACATATTAACGTTTCTGAGGTCTGACAAAGGTGTATCTGAATACACACAATTTTCACATTACAGGACTACTATTTTATTAGGTATTTGCTTTGATACAGCAAAAGAAATAACAACGATCAATTACATGCCTTAGTTGAGGTAATACTGTTTTTTGACAAGTACTAAGCTGCAGCCAAAACCCATTCCTTTTGATGATAGAAGCACCCATTTTTGGGCTTCTTCCAAGTCCATTTGTCGAATGTGTCAATCATTTGCAACTTAATCATTAAACTATCTCAGCACTTAATTTGGCTACTACTACGAGCATAAAATGAACAGGAACGAGCTTTAAATATAGAAAAAATACTTTCAAAAACTGATTGTTTGATTCCATGAATCAAAATTGCAAAGCAAGGAATAACACTACATTCAGTGCCTCAATTTGAATAAATGCATTTTCAGTGAGAAAATCGATAAGCAATTATGGTTATTAACCCATTATATGAACTACCTGTATCGAGATTGAAGGAGCACATCTCCCAAAAGAAATGCCACTCCACCAGTACAAGAAAAGAGTTCTGTATGTAGCTTAGGCTACTCTTTCATTGCCTCAGAAGCATTGGCTCAAGTGGTGGTATTCATGTCAAATTCAGCCTCCAAAAATCACTTTAAACTGGCTGAAAAGAAGTCCAAGAGACTTAGTTTCATGAAAACCAACATGCAAGCACCATAGTGACGCCTCTTTCCAGCATTATATAAAATGCCTTGGTAGTAGATTTGCAGTACTCATTAGAAGGACAAAATTGTATATTACCAATAATCCCCACAAGAACAAATGCCATCCTTGAAGTGATGAAATCGACTCGAGTCTCTTACTATGATCTCACGATTAACAATCTTCGCTATAAGCTTTATTGCATTATGACAATCCCCACATATACGGAGATTTTTCATCACTGTTATTGTACTGCCTTCCACAGTCTTAAGCAACCCAAATGCAATTGCAAGCCTTTCACTGTGATAAGACAACATTTCTTCCCTCTGTTCAGTTTCAACATCATGTAAAGCAAATTGTTGATCAGGAACATAACCTATTTCTTTTAGCTTTACTCCTAACCAGTCTAGCTTTTGATAAATTTTCTCACTGAGAGGGTGGGACCTATCTCCAGAAAGGAATTCATGCCTCCAACCTTTCAAGGATATCCAACTGGACCCTGGTTGTTTTGAAACTCCTTTATGTTTCATCATTTTTCGTATCCTAGCTACTTCGCTCCACTTGCTTGCAGAAGCATACAAGTTAGATAATAAAACATAAGCTGCACTTGAATCAGGTTTCAGTTCAAAAATTTCTTTGGCAGCTCTCTCAGCTACATCCAAATTAGAATGCATCCTGCATGCACTCAGTAAAACCAGCCATATCATGGAATTAGCTTTCATAGGTAGGCTTCTTGCTAGCCCTTCTGCTTCATCCAACTCCCCACACCGAGCAAGTACATCCACCATGCATGCATAGTGCTCAATTGTTAGTTCAGTTAATCTTTTCTCGTCAAAGTATTTGAAGAAGCACTTTGCCTTTTGCAACATCCCCGAGCGACTACATGCTGAAAGTAAACCAGTTAGTGTGATTTCATCTGGATCTACTCTTTCATATAGCATTTGCTTAAAGACTATTAAAGCCCACATGCCACACCCATGCTGTGCACAGCCAACAATGGCTGAGTTCCATGAGACAATATTTTTCTCACTAATCTTCTTAAATGCAATTATCCCATCATTGATATATCCACATTTGCTATACATGACAACAAGAGAGTTACCCACATATGGATTAGTCACCAAACCTAATTTACTCGCTATAGTATGGATCTCCCTCCCTTTTTCAATGTCCTCCAATCCACAACATGAATTCAAAGCACTCGTTACAGAAAATTCATTTGGAAAGACAGCTGTTTTTATCATTTCTCTGAAGACCTTAATTGCGTGTTCATGCTTATTGTTTAAAGCATATCCTGATAAAAGAGCCGTCCATACCACAACATTCTTATGCAATATATCATGAAAAAGCTTGTATGCCACCTCCATTTGTTTGCAATTCGCATAAAATGTCACAAGTGAAGCATATACATGCTCATCAAGGTAGTAACCTAGCTTAAATATGTAACAGTGAATCTGAAGCCCTACATGCAAAGCTGATATCTTAGCAGCAGCACTCAACCCACAAACTAAAGTAGTAGATGTGGGATGCACGCCCAAACTGACCATCTTTTGGTAAAGAAGTAAAGCTTCATCACTCTTTCCATTCTGGTCGAGCCCGCTAATCATAGAAGTCCAAGAAATCACATTGCGTGTAGGCATGTGCTCAAATAAAAGCAACGCATCTTCAACTCTACCATTGCTGCAATAACCATGAATCATAGCATTCCACGATGCCACATCCCTATAAGGCATTTTATGGAAAAATCTTTCAGCATCCTTAACTCTGCCCAACTGCAAAAGCCCATTCATAATGGTGGTCCAGGAAATAACATTCTTCTTAGGCATTTCATCAAAAAGCCTCTTGGCCATAATGAAATCTCCACAATCCAAACACCCTTTGATCATTGAATTCCAAGAAACAACATCCCTATACGGCATTTTATGAAAGAGATTCAAAGCCTCTCTGAGTCTATGATTTTGCGAGTAACCCATCACCATCATGGTATACAAGGCAACATCAGGAGATGGGATTTTGTCAAAGACGATGCGAGCTTCATCTAAACTTAGATTCTTTAGGTGATGAGAGAGCAAATGCTTATAAGAACTTGAGTTGCTGTTACTCTTCAAACAGTTGAATCCACTTAAAGAATTTGCCGTGGCTAAAGTAGTACAGTTTCTAACAACAACAAATGAAATTGATCTAGGTATATATATGAACTTCATAAAAGCAGCACAAAGTATTGTCATAACCATGCATGAACCTGTCATAAATGCCGTCTGAGTCCTAAATAAAACTCTCCGAATTCATCCTGAAGTTAAAATACATATATATATTGAATCCTTCCATATATAGGCAATCAAATCCTCTGCATATACAGACACCATAAGTCACAACTTATGGCTTCTGTTGCTCAATGCAACAAACGCCATAAGTAGTCATTTTTAGAAAAAATGAATAAATAAATAAAACACACAAATCCAGGGATTGCCAATTACTCATGAACAAATACGTACAAGCACCTCTGTACATATCCAATGTCACAAGGACTAAAAATGCCAAAGCCAACCTAAATTTCAGCAGTTGCATAAATTTGTGATAACACGTAAATATAAAAGCCAGATGCTCTGACTAACTTGGCTAACATGCTCTTCAAGCCTGAAGTATTGTTGCAGGAATGACAGAAACCCAAGGAAAATCCTCCACCTAAGAACATTATTTCATACGAGATGTTACCTTTGAAAACTGAAGCTGACAAATAATTTAAAAAAATAACCCTAAAATCTGGAGCTGATAAAAGATACCAACGTAGCTGGACTTGTCCAAATAAGGGATCCAATAAGAAGCACTAGGACTCAAATATGCCATATTTTCAATTCATTATAAACACAGAACTGTATAATAAATAAAGTTTTGTGGATATACAGATCGCTATTAAATCCCAAGTAAAGCATAACATGTATAAAGCTTCCTAAATTGTGGAGATACCTTAGTATGGTCTAATGAGGACATAACATTCTTTGTCTGACTCAATATCTTTACTTTTCTATAGATCATTCTCACTGACCATATCCCAAGAATTACTTTCTTCTGTCATAACCCAAAAACTTTCAAAGCATTCTAGACCTTAAACATAAAAAATAGAAGGCTTTTTTACAACTTAAAAATATAAATGACTTGAATCTCAACGTGAAAAGTAAATTACTTTGTAATGTAATAAGCAATAAGTTTTAAAGATAGGAGTATGTTTGGACGTGTACGGTTTACCAGTTGTATTCTGTGAATTTGATGCCTAAGCACATTGAAGTTTTTCAGGAAAGGTATTACTAGAGCTGTTCACTATTAATCATCCACAGTAGATGGGAGACAATATCATATTGCACATTATGATCAAGCAGAAGGGTGTCAATAAGGAGAAAAGACTCCAATAATAAAATACTTTACAAAACAAATATAAAATAGTATAGTCATACATTCTCAAGACCATTGATTCAAGTTAATAACCATTGCATTCATGCAGAAACTATGGCTCACAGTATTCCATATAAGAGAAACAAATAAATGAATGAATAATCTACTTACTCAACCACTTGATCATTCCATAGCAGCTACAGATGCATTGCCTCACGGCATGGAGAAGTAAATATCAAAGCCAGTCCCCTAACCGTTCCATTATATCTAGCAAGAAAGGCCCTAAAAAGCAGCTAAAATTTAAGAAACAAATTTCATGATCAAAAGTTTAAACAACTTAATCTTAGGGAGCATATAAAATAAAAACAATTCCAGCCCATGAAAAAGAAAAGGAATGCCACTTAAAAGTTAAGGAACTTGGTAAGTTTAAGAGGATTGAAAAAATTTCCAGGAATTTGAGCCAGGAAGAGCTCTAGATAATGTAGAAGAAAATGGCCATAAAAGGTCAGTAGCAACTAATACACCCTCAGGAAGAGGCAACAAAAATGTTTTCCTTGATATCCCAAAGTAAATAACGAGCATATTATGTTTGAACTTTGTTGAATGTTAGATGATAACTACTGCACAAGTATCTTGATTCCTCGTATAAATGGAGTTCAGAATTTCAATTCAAGAACATTATTAATTAACTAGCAATATTTTATCAATAAACACTAATAGGCCATAGCTAAAAAAACATTTTAAAAAATGAACTGAAATTTTTGCTTTATAAAAACATAGGGAATGATCCATTTTTTGTGTTGTGCCCTAGGTTTCTAAGTCATCATTTAATTTGCTTGGGTTGATTGCATAATGAAAAATGCATTGACTTGTGTGTTAGAACTCTTGAAGGCACGTTGGGTTACATTTGAGAAAAACCCACCAATTTCGCAGGTTTCTACACATTTTGTTCTCGTTCAGAATTTTAAAAAGGTATTTACGTAAAATGGTAACATGATTTTCTTTTCCCTAAATATCAAACAGGAAATAAACTCTGAAGAAAATATCATTAGATGCTCGACGCCCCCCAAAATGTTTTAAAAAAATGGAACCATGACCAGCAACTTTGTTTCAATAGTATTCAAAAATCGTACAATATGAATTATATGATTTACATACCACATTCGTCAAGCCATATGATATTTCAACCAGATATTTTTACAAAAATCAACACTAGGTTAAACAATAAACAAAGAATAACAAAGTACAAGAATACAAAAATCATCTCAATACAGAATAAAAAATTCAACACTTGGCTGAAAACATAACAAAGAAGAGGAATAAAAAGAACCCAAACGAAAAAGAATCCAGAATGGGAAGCAAAATCGAAAAACTTACCAAGAGCTAAGCCTGAAACTGTGAGCACAGTGAAAAGGAGCAGCCAGAGACGGAATGTGTTACCAGAACGAAAAGGAGAACAACCATGAATAGAACGAGAGTGAAAAGAAGTGGAGGAGGCGACACTCACGGCAAACTGGAGAAAACCCCTGATGAGACATAGACAGAGCGGAAGAGGAAGGCAAGAGAAGAAGAAATTAAAGTGAGCGCGAGACTCACGGGGTACTGAAGAAGATAGACGACGAAACCCAACGAAGATCCACAGACAGAAGTGAAGAAAGAACAAGAGGAAGGCAAGAGATCGAGCAATCGAGCGAAGTGAAGAGGCGGTAGTGGAAAATAAGTTGGGGAGGGGCTCGTTGAGACTTGGTCCAGACACCATACATTAAGAAAAATTAAAAATACTTGCTGCGACAGGCCCAATCTAGATCAGACGCCGTAGATAAAAGGTTTATGAAGACTGGTTCATTTTGGGCCAGACGCGGTAGATTTGGAAAGGACATACAACTGCTGGTCTGCCTTGAGCCAGATGCGGTAGAATAAAAATTGCCTCCTTTTCATCTAAATATAAAAAAAAAATTTCAAATTTTTACCTGCATGAGTTGTAAAATCAATTAGAAACAAGGTTCTCATTGAAAAACTAAAAAATTTTAATCATGTAAAGGGAAAATTAAAAACTAGTTAAAACTCAAGTATCTAAGTTTAAAAAAATTAAAATTTTTTAAAAGCGTAAGTTTAAAAAGATTAGAAGTAAAGTAATTATGTGTCTATTTCATAGAGGAAAAGATATTAAAAAGATTAAAAGTAAAGTAATTGTGTGTTTATTTCATAGAGGAAAAGATATCATATTTCTAATATATACAATGAAAAGCAATTTAAAATCATTTTAAGTATTTATGGAATCTGTTCAATGTTAAACAGAAGCCATAAGTTAGCTTATTGCATCAGGGTCAGTGGAAACCTAAAGCAAGTTATATACAGCTTTTGTTCCATGTATAACTGATACTAAAAATAGTAGTTGAATCACTATTTTGTAGTAGTCATAATTTTATAAAAGAAGCAACTTAGTTTGGATAAAAACTTATAAATACTTTAAAGTAAATTAGTAACTTTTTTTAATTTATTTGAAATTAGTCAACTGGATCTCATATTAAGAACTAGAGGTAGTAAAACATGTATTAGATGCTACTAAATGTTGTTTGTCTGAAAGAAATGCTTCTCTAAATACAATAACACTCATTGCTTAGCCCATGGATCCTATGACTGTTGCTGAAGTTCAAAAGAAAGATGAAGAAAATGCTCGCAGAGGAAGTCATTTTTCCAGTCTTCCTATGAGGAACATATGATATATAATCTAATGATAAATATAAGTATTTTAGAGATCATATGATGATGCCAAATACCCATACAACATCTGTTAAAAATAGCCTTTTGCTACTGTATATACGTTGTAGTGAAAGCAACAATAGTAAAAGATATTACCTATGACTTCTGTACATGTGTTGCAGTGAAAACAATAATAGTAAAAGATATCACCTATGACTGAAGTTAGAAAATAGTTATAATAATTAGAAAAATCTGATTAAATATTAAAATATAGGGTTAAAGTATAATTTTAACAATAAAGTTTACCTAAGGGGTACTGGATACCATAATGTTTATTTAGGTGCAAAAATATACATGAAGTTATTAAAAGAGGGCATCTAGCACTATGCTCTTATTGTCCGTTAGTTTACGTTAGAGGGACCCACAAAGTCAGTTTTAAGATATATTTTTAATAATAAAGTTTACATCAAGGGGCATTAGGTACCATGAAGTTTACTTAGGTGTAAAAATATACATGACCTTTCTAAAAAAAAAAAAGATAACAAAATTCTCTAACTCCCATAAACATCCATTAGTTTTATTCTTTTGAGTCCCACCAAATGCTATATTTTCTCTTCATTAATTTTCACTTCAAAGTCTATCCATTTTTCTTTCATTATAATCAACACGCACACTCTCTTTGTCATATCGTTTTCTCAATCTCCAAGCCTTTTATATATATTTACACAAAACAATGTCTTTCCCTTCTAGGATACGAGGTTCATTGCTTGCACCCAAGTACTACCTCCAATCCTTAATGTAGGATGACTAATTCGAGAAGATTAAAAAAAATTACATAAATTACTTTAAAATATTATATTTACTATTTTTCTCTAAATTAATTTACTTGGCTTATAAACTAATATATAATCAAATGATGCATATAAATATTTTAGAGAGATCATATACTATATGCTATGTTTAAGCAGTTGTTTTACTTCTTTAATTTTTTTCAAATTTATCTATTATACTAAGGAGAAGAGGAAGTAGGACTGAGTAGAGAGAAGAAGTGATATTTAGTAAGACCCAAAAAAATAAAGTTAATGGAAGTTTATGAGAGTTGGAGAATTTTGTTATCTTTTTCATTTTTAGAAAGGTCATGTATATTTTTACACCCAAGTAAATTTCATGATATCTAATACCTCTTGATATAAACTTTATTGTTAAAAATGCATCTTAAAACTGACTTTGTAGATCCCTCTAACAGTATACTAACAAGCATTAACAGTGTAGTGCCAAATACCCCCTTTTGATAACTTTATATATATTTTTATACATAAATAAATTTTATAGTGTCCAGTACCCTTTAGGGTAAATTTTGTTATTAAAATTGTACATTAACCCTAAAATATATTGAATTTCCTTCCCTCATTCTCCTCCTCCCACGACACTTTTAACCTTGAACCCCTAGTCTTAACCCAACTCTCTCCCTTTCTCATATCGGGCTCTCTGCCTCTCCCCTCAAATTCGTCGTTACTACACTTAACTCCCTTTTCTCT